GGTTGTCGGCCCGATAAAGCGGTCGATGATCGAACGACCGGTTCAGACCATGCTATTTTGAAATGTCGCTTCGATTGTCTGGCCATCGTCCTTGACCATCTAATTGATTTGAGATTCGTGTTAGTGCTTGATGCACGAGCGGAGCTGTTAGCACTAATAGTGAATATGTTGTCAATCCCAATAAAAATAAATTCAGTTTAAATAAATTTATCTTCTAAAATCTCTAAGCTACCAAACCAATAATAATAACGCAAGTATACGTATTGCTCAAATAAAAAAGAACTCTAATGGAGTCCTAAGTATCGATCCCACAGGGAGCTCAAAATTCTTATGGTTATAACGTCAAACACAATATTTAAACTATAAAACTTAAGTAAGCAAAACAAATCTAAAGCAAATTAATGTGCGCTAAATGAAATGAAGTTAAAAGAACTAAATTAACAAAACTAATTGCTATACTTCAAAAGTAAACTTATAAAGACTAAACAAAGTTTTGAAACAGAGTGTTCAAGTTTAAGAAAACATCCCTTCCCTTTATAATGAGTTTATGAAATGTGAAGAAATAAAAATCATTTAAAATACATATAAAATTATATTGTGCCAAATAGGAGCATTTCAATTCTTTACCCTCTGAGAGTACATAAAGAACATTGACTAATCTAGAGTTTGGTACCTAAATCTGTGGTTAGGTTGAGAGGATACTGGTGATACAACAAAATAATAAACTCTTTTAAGTACATATTTTATGCTTATTTTTTGTGATATTGCATTTTAAAGAATGATATTTTTCGTATTTGTTATGCAGGTATATGATTTTTAGGAATTTGGAGCAAAAATTAAAAAAAGGACAAAATTTGGAGCCAAAACAGTGAATTTTGGGATTCTGGCGCATGATGCGCCAAATCGGCGCATGATGCACCAATTGACAAAGAACTGGCTCATGATTCGCCAGATCGATGCATGATGCACCATAGACGATTTTTTGGAAATTAAGGTAGTTCGAGACAAATTTTGCCCGAATTTTCAAAGGAACTTGTTCTACACACCTATTGGAGCAATTCAATGCATTTAGACACTTTGAAAGGTTCTGTTATAAAAGAATATGTCTCTTAGATCAAATGACTTATCTTTTAAATTCAAAAAGTTGACTTTTGGAAGGAACTTTTAGAGGGAATTTGACATTCTTTTAAAAGGAGGCAACCTAAAAATAAAAGAGAAAACTTCAAGGGGGCGAGAGAAGCCTTAAAAAGGGACGAGTAAGGGAGAGAGAAAGTTGGTATGAGAAGCAAGAGGAGTGAAGAGGAGATTTTTTTCTAGGGTTGTAAGAGGAGAGGGAAGCTGAGAGATTTTTTCTTCATTACACTTCTAAGATAGAATCAAGTGATATTGTAAAAAGAGAAAGGCTTGGAGAGAACTTTTAGAGATTCGCTTGAGAAGGACTGTGAGATAAGCTGTGTATTGTATTTCTTTTATTTTGTAAACTTGTTTTATATATGAAATTCGTGTTTTGTGGTATCTTTCTCATGAATTCTGAGTAGTCTTCTTTATCCTTCTCCCTACTTTGAGATATGGTTTTGTTTTCTATGGTTTTAAATGTTAATAATTTGTGATGATTTGAACTTTGATCTTCATTTACTTTTCAATCTGGCAAATTGAAATGTTAAAACTTGTTGAGAAACATATGTTCTTAAAAGGGATATATATTCTATGGCATAGGGAGAATAACATTTGATTTCATGGGAGAGTATGTTATCCATCAGATTGGGTGCAAATAAATAGGGAAATATACTTTGTTGGATGCAAAATTGGAGATTTTAAGGTAACAGATTAAAATCCCCAATTTGGTCCGATTGATTGGAAACTGATTTGAAATTGTTAGCCCTCTGGTGATGAAGTAGTGGGAGCTCTGGAGTGGCAATTGGTTTCCTCCCAGTATAACCACAAAATTAGGGACCAAACTCTTGATTTATCAATGTTCTTTACAACACTCGAAAAAGGGTAAAGAATAAAATTGCTCTCATTTGACACAAAACAGTTTTTATATATATTTTTTCAAATGATTTCAATTTATTCACAATCCATATACTCATTGTAAAGGGGGAGGATGCTTTCTTAAATTTGAACTTTCCGTCAAAACAAAAACTTTGTTTTAACTTTATTTTGTTTTTGTAATTTAACTTTTGAAAAGTTAGTTCTTAGTTAGTTAACTTTATTTTTCAACTGCATTTTATATAGCATTTACCTTAGTAGTTAATTTTCAAACTTTGCACTTTACTTTTATTTTTATATTTTAAATTCTAAATAATAATTTTAAGAACTTACTTATAGGATTTTCCAACTTCTCTGTGGCAATAATATCACTACATTTAATCACAGGGATGCTGTCAGGAAAACCAGTAAAACTCTTTTTGTTAAGAACACAAATCCTCTTGCCACTTTCCCCTTTGGTGATCCATTGGGGGAATTATCAGAACCCCAAAACAACTTGGAAACTTCTCCAGGTTGTGTGGAGAGGGCAGAACCTAATGAAGTCAGTATTATTACCCCTCCTTCCCCCACACTTGCTGGAAAAGGGAAATGTGCTCTGAAAAGCCCCTTGATCACTGAGGATATATATAAAATTATTGAAGCTGCTTCTGTTGAAGTGCAACAGGCATTGGGAGAAGATTGGCAAAGTCACAAAACAAGGAAAAAGAATGTGATGAAAAGTTCCCTGATCAATGAGCCTACTCCTAGAATTGCTGAGGCTGATGTCATTGATTTGCAACAGGCTTTGGAAGAGGATTGGAAAATTCACAGACTTCTGAGGCGTAGCAACTTCTACATGGAACAAACTCTCCTAAGAAGGATGGAAAGGCTAAGCCTCATTCTGGCTCTACCTCGACATATAATAGAGGAAGAGCTAGGCCAAGGTCTCAACCTTCCATTCAATTCTCACCTATCAGTGATTAGTATTCCTCTTTGGAATGCTAAGGATCCCATGATTAATATTTTGTGTTGGAACATTAGAGGAGTGGCTCACGCCTCCTCTCTTTTGAGATTAAGACATCTCATTAGACTACACAAGATTTGGTGCTTTGCAAAATATCCTCAAAACATCATCAACAAGTTTTCCAAGTTTACTTTTTATGCTAATTCCACTAATAAAACTTGGCTCTTTGTCAGACCTGAAATTCAATGCAGTTTACTTGTTAACCATCATCAGTTTCTTCACATTCAGTTTGCTATTGGAGCACAGGTGGGATTTGCATCATTCATCTATGCTAGCAGCCTTCCTAGATACCAACAAGAACTGTGGCATGAGCTGATGACTTTGGGAAAAAATATTGACTCTTTCTGGATTTTGGAGGGTAACTTCAATTGTGTCACTTCTCCAACGGAAAAAAGAGGGGGTAAAGCCCCTTTACTTTCTCCAATAGCCAAATTCAATAACTTCATCAGTGATGCTGGTCTATTTGATCTAGGCTTTCAAGGTCCAAAGTTCACTTAGAGAAGAGGCACTTTGTGGGAAAGATTGGATAGATTGCTTGGCAACTCCTTATGGTTTCAAACCTTTCCATTCTCTACTGTCACTCACCTTGCAATGGCTGGATCTGATCATAGACCTCTCCTTTGCTCCATACAGAACACTGCTAGACCAACTCATACACCCTTCAGATTTCAGAATATGTGGACTCTACATCTTGATTTCATTAAGGAAGTCGAAAACAATTGGAATTCCAACCTGAATGCAGACCCCTGGATCAGATTATGGTTAAAACAAAAGAACTTAGCCTCTCATCTGAAAAAATGGAATTTGAAAAGATTTGGTAATGTCAATGAACAACCGGAGGCCATCCAAAAAGAAGTTCATAGTTTGGAGGAAGGCTTACAAATGGGGATGAAATCTGAATATGAGGTTCACCATGCCAATGAGAGACTCCTTGCACAAATCAACTACCATGAATGTTTCTTAAAACAAAAAGCTGTTGTCACTAAATTCACTAATGGTGATAGAAATACTAGATACTATCATGTTTGTATCAATCATAGAATGAAGTGTAACATGATCTTAAACATAACCAATATCAATGGTAGGAAGTTAACCAATGCAGAAGATATAGCTTATGATGCAGTCCAACATTTCCAAAATTTGTTCACCAATGAGCTGGATTTTAGAAGCCCAATTGAAACTGAGCTGTTCACTAACTGTCAGCAATATGTTCAAAATTTAAATCTCACTAGTAATCCTTTGGAAGATGAGATAAAAAAAGCCTTAGATTCCATTGATGGTCTCAAAACTGCTGGGCCTGATGGCTATACATCTACTTTCTATAAAGCCACATGGGATAGGACTAAACAAGACATTATGCTTGTTGTCCAAATTTTCTTTCTTGGTGTGGACCCTCCTAAATATTTCAGTGCCTCCACCATCACTCTAATACCTAAGAATCAAAATAGGAAAACTTGGGGGGATTACAGGCCAATCAGCCTAACCAATGTGATCTCCAAAATAATCAGCAA